GGCCGTTTATCTTGCGAATATGAATGTGTTTTTTAAAAATACGAATTGAAGAAGTTTGCCTAAAGCTTTTTTTTTCAAGTATTTTATAGAATGTGTATGGTTCTCCAGTTTTTCCAAATTCGGTTTAAGGATTTGATTTTTATTATTTTTAGAAAATAGCACGGGTACTCTATCTTCTTCTCCTACCCATATCTGTTTTTAAACTGTTATATGCGGTTTGCAGTCACAAGTTTTTTTAAAATTAACGGAATCTGTTGTAGGTTCAAAGATTTGACTGAGAAGGTGAAGGTGGAAAGTGGCGAGGAGGTCGATGTTAAACATTCACCGGAATTTCTTTTACAGTCCTGTTTACAACTCGTTTTACTCGTTCGTTTCCGAACATTTTTTTGTTTATTTCATTCTTAGTTTAGGCAGAGTGAGAAACATAAGGTTTCTTGCACTTTCGGCTCTATTTGCTTTTAAAAAATTCCAGAAGTTTGTTATAGAAGAAGAGGAACGATTGGGTGCTGGCAAAAGCTCGAGAAGCTGTGAGAGTGATTTTAAGTTGAGAAGATATTATAAAGTTAGAGAATAATTGATACCATTTGTCTGTAAAGTAGTTTCGAGTGGATTGTGTATCTGTAGATACTGTAAAAAATTACATTATGAATAGGATTTTTAGGAAGAACATGAGAGTGAGAAAGGCAGTTGCAAAAATCAATAGTTCGTTTGAAAATTTTAAGAAAATTCTATGTTTGTGTTGCGAGCCATATCGTCCTTGTAAACTGCTTTGAGGAAGCAACTGATTCATTCCGCAGGCTTAATGGAGGTTGCTACGAGAGAACTTTGAGACAGAATTAAGAGTTAATTTTTCAGCTTATTCGCTTGTCACCTGAAGAAGAGAAGGGAGATTTGTCGAACAGTTTCCCAATGAAGGATTGGAAGTGCCATCCATTTGCTGGGTCTTTGTTGAAAACCCTTCAGATATGCAAAGCTTTATCTTTGCATCCCCTTCATACTGCGTGTAGGGACATCAACAAACCTATAACGTCAAGATTTCCCTCTGCTGATGTTATCGGATGTTTGATTAAAGCTGGGGCGGACGTCAACGAACTCAATGAATCAGGTATTGTTTGGAGACCAGAACTGGTTTTCTTATGTTTTAACCAAAAATAGCAGTAAATTATTTTTGCATTGTCGCTGCTTTAGTTTGTGTTATATGACTCTAGTTTGCAGTTCCTTTCAGTTTTCTTTAAATTTGTCGATATAGTCCTTTCAGTTTTCTTTAAATTTGTCAATATAGTCCTTTCAGTTTTCTTTAAATTTGTCGATATAGTCCAGTTTGAAAAAACTGATGAAGTTTTTTAATGCATTTGTGGACGGCTGTATTTTATTGAAAAAGGGAAACAGTTGTCTTGTTTCTAGTTACCAGAGACTTCCGTTTCCATTTTGTGACTTTTCAAAAGCCTCAGTCAATTTTGTTTTTAAACTGGCTTTTTAAAAACAGAGGTCATCAAAGCACTAGCTCTCATTCTGTAGTTACACTTGCTGAGTGTCGATAGATGTCCTTAGTCGTCTTATGACCTCTTTAGTGAATACTATTTAGAAGACTTATTCGTCTTCCACTCTTGGAATTTGGAAGATGAATTTTAAGGAAATATGAAAGTAAAGCATTTAGTAGCGTTTAGAAACCTTTAATTTATTTTTTTATTTTTTAATTTGTTTGTTATGCTAGGAGGTCAAGTTTTTTGTGATGTGGAATAGATGCTTATTTAATGCTCACATGATGAGTCGTAGAAACTGGCCATTTTCACTGGCTTTTTCAAATAGTTTTGAAAAGAATTTTTCTTCCACGCTTTTTGTGCAGTAGTAAACCTTCCGGCTGTTCTGTTAAGAATTTTCTGGTTATTATTTAGTTCTTTTATTTTGGTGAGAATTAATAGGGGGAGTAACGAGCAGGCTAGAAGTGAAGGACTTTGCAAGTCTCTAGCTATTCTTTGAAGGCACTTCCACTTGAGCATAAGCAGAAGTGTGCTCAGTGAGTTTGAGGAGGAAACATTAGCAAGGGTTTAAATTACTTTCGTAGGCTAACTTTTAATCACCGTTTCTTATGCCTAAATTTATGTAGAAAATGCGCATCTTTCTGACCGGTTTGTCATATTTTTCTAATAAATTTTTGTTTGGGTTTGCCTACTTCATTTTTTGTGAGTTACCGAAGCCGACAAACGAAAAGTGAGCAATGGGTAGGGGTTTTTTTCAAGACTTTCTTGTGTTTATTATAGCTTTGATGACGCTTTAAAGCTGATGGGTGGCACAAATCTTCTACTTCCTGGATTAGCGATAATGAAAGTTTTTATTAAAAGCAAAAGACTTTTACAGGTATTCAGTTAAGAGGAAAAGTTGAAACAAATATTTTTGTGAAAACTATTTCTTAATAGTTTTAATCAGGTAGATCTGTTCACTTATTATAGGGCTTTTGATGAGATACATTGTTTCACATAAGTTATTTCACTTATTGCTAATCATCTGACGTTTGCAATTAATGGATGTGCTAGGAATAATAGAAAATATGATTCTGATGTGGATTTGGCTTAGCTTTATGTACTTTATGAGCTTCAGGAGAAACTGCATTGCACACTCTTTTGCTTGGGGAAAAGCCAAGGCAAAGTGTGGCAAGACTTTTGCTTGAAAATGGTGCTAATTTGTTTGCTCGGACGAAGAACGATGAAACTTGCCTGTTACTCCTCCAAAAGAAACTGCGTAATACAATTGGTCATCTAAAAGTTGGTGAGTTGACTTCTTAGCTTTTTTGGTTTTTTTGTTATTTTTTTAACTGCTTGGTGGAATATCTTTGCAGTTGAAGAATATGAAAAATTTTTTGAACGTTCAAATATTTGAGGGGGGCTTTATAATTTATTGAGATATTGAGACGTACTCTTATTTAAATTCCCAAAAGTACCAATATTTCGAAGATTCATTTTTTAAATTTCTTGGATGTTTAAGTTTAGGTTAAAGTTTAGATTCAAATTTTGTGGGGGTCTTTGAAGCTGTTGAGATTTGGTTGAAAGTATACATTGGTGTTCTTGGTGCATGTTATTGTACGGAAATATTTTTCCAGGACGTTTTCTTACCTTGAAAGGTGTGGCTGCGAACGTCGTAAGGCGGTCGAATATAGCCTATGAGGATAGTAATCTTGTTCCTGCTGATCTCATACCTTTCCTAAACATGCACTGAGTATTTTACTTATGATATTTTTTAAGTTTCAGACGAACATTAGATCTGAGCACTCAGTTGTTAGAAAGGCGCTGTTTCTTTGCACCTAATTATATGCATACTACATGTTTCAGTATTTCTTTTATTATTTTTTCGCTGTTCTTGTGCTAGTTGTCATTGAAAATGGCAAAGAGGGTTTGTAAAGGTCGTTCTTCAAACGGTATTTCTGTGGATTTTTTTAGAGAAGTAGCTGTATAGGAACGTCTTTTAAATTGAACCTTCTTTAATTCTTACGGGTCGTTATTTTTAATTACTATTTTGTAATTAGAGTATATGTTTGTTTCTTACACCAATAGTGTTAGATTTCTAAATTTTTGAGTAACTTCTATAGCGTCTCGGTTATGTGCAAATATCAGTATAGTTGTGGTAAAATGAGGAAGTTACGTGTAAATATTTTAGCGTAGTGTTTGTTTAAAGTTGCCGTTTCTAAGTTTTTGGCTTTTAGTTGTTTTTTTTTAACCCGTGTTTGTTTCACACGAGTTGCGTATATATTTTTAAATAGTTGGATTGCTCAATGGCGCTACCGGTAAATAATATTTTTGATATATTGTATTTTAAGCTAAAGTGCGATATAAATTTTCATTGACTATTTGTTCTTCCGAGCTTCACCTTTTGTTTCTGTCACAGCTTTAACGTTGCAAAATAATGTTCATTAAAAGTTTAAAACGCATTGACTTTCAAAAGAATGTTTTGTCTTATTCAAAAATAGTAGTGGTACGACACAAACATGTCACATGTTGGAGAGGGCGAGAAAGCAGGGATATTTTGTAGACGTGTCACTGACCTCCAGAAAAAAAATCACTTAATCTGGACCTGTGGTGCTGTGATTTCTCTAGTAAACAAGATCAAGACACTAGCAGTTGTGTAGGAAGTGGTAAACTAACTTTCGCGAGGAACTGACTTCGGTTTTTATCTCATTGTAGAGGTTGTGATAGTTTTTCGCGTATATGACAGATATCCTCAGTGTTTGACTGAACAGAGTTACACCATTTTATTGAAACCCTCTGAAGGAAGTTTGGTAATATTTTTGTTTTGTGAAGATTCAGCTAAAAAAGGTAAGATTAACAAAAATTTTTTTGGAAAAGATTGGCTGTTTCGGAGCGTTAAAGGGTTTTATTTTTAAACCTTTTTCATTTTCAAGTCCTGCTTTTGTTAACACGATCCTCGAAGTTTGACTGTTTTAAAAAGTCAAAAATTTTTTTTAATGCGAGATTGACAAAGTTTCCAGTAAAACTTGTTTGGAGTTTCTGACAAGATTTTTACTCTGCTGATTTCTTCCTCTGTTTTGCTCCATTCTCTGTCTCGGTAGTACTTTAGTTTTCTGCACTGTGAGTAAAATCCAGTCTTTGAGGATTGTGTCAGTCAGGGAAAGGTAGAAGAATCCACGTTGTAATACTGAGCCACATGTGTTGATGTTAATCGGTCGAAGTAAAAGATATACTGAAACATGGAGGATTTTTATCAGGATGCACATATTGTTCTTTATTCTTGGGACTTTTCGTGTGAAACCGTATTTTAGAATAAAATCTACCTTTAAATAAATTTTACAAAATTACGCTCTTACGTTATCAGTAATTTTCCTACGGCTTTGTCTTTATGTAGCTGCTTCAGTTGGGAGTGGTGAAGTTACACTCGCTGTGTACCGATTAAGATATGCAAAATGTTTCAGATGACTTATGGCTGCTTCCGCATAGCTATAGTTTTGTTACCAGCTGCCGTAATTTGAATTAGTAATTTTTTTGTAACGTATAACTCTGTTCCGGTTGTGGAATTATTGTTATTGTACATTTATTTGTAATCTGTTTTTATCGGCACCCTCTTTTCAGAGGAATTTCTAAAAATTGACCAATTTGTACTGAGGTTCATTGAGAAGTCTGAACCTGGGCTAAAACAGCAAGCCTGCTTGGTCTTTGAGTTCTGTCTTCATTGAAAAACTGATCGTTTCATGTTGCCGTCGTAGATCTGTGACTGAAATATCTCTTTTTTATTTGTTAACGAAGACTCGACTGTAGTGGTTTAAGCCCCAATTTTAGGATGAATAGAAATTGCTGATGAATTGATTAGAAAGTGCCTATAGGCTTTGCAGTAACTTTCTGATGTCTTGATTTGTATTACGCATTTCCAAGTGCGATACAAATTTGTACGATTGGTAGAAACATTTTAGTTATTCACTTTTATACTGACGGTAAAACTTACTCATTTGTTCCCCTTCTCACTGCACCAAACTACGGCTGATTCCCCATAGTACTTCCTCGTTGTATTCAGTGTTTGTCAGTCCCAACTTTCTTGCTCGGTCTTCAGTATTATGCACGGCTTTACATAAATTATTCGAAAAAAGCATTGCGGAAGCAGCTGATCTGTTAGATGACAGTAAACAAATTTTTTCTATTCTAGTTTATCTCTCCATATCAGAAGCTGTTTTATTGCACTTAGGAACTGTATTCGAGGGCAAGGGAAATGAAACGTATTTGAAAAACCGATCGTAGTACTTGGAGAAAAAAACAGATAAAAACTAAATTTTGCGGTACTTTTTCTCCTTACATTTAAAATCCTTTATGATATCAATACTGCTTTTCAATACATGAGGATATGGCAATGCGCACACCGTTTCTCTAAACAGTAACTGCACTTTCTCCAGTCAGTCTTTCAATTTTTCATTGGACAATGAAAGCTTTTAACCAATACCTCAAGAGTTTAGTGTTGTCAAAAAGTATAGTTAAATTAGTCAAGAAAATCCACGGCAATTACAAAAAAACGGCTGAAGCCGCATGCTTCAGAGAGCTTTTTCAACTTGTATCTTGGCTATGGTTGGGAATATAGTCATTACAGCACAGTGTCCACAATCTCTTCGTGTAGCAAAGTTAGTCGTTATTCTTCTACTACGGTATCGTAAATTCGTGATTGTAGAAACGCAGTTAATAGTGTAGAAGTACGAAAAAAGTTATTTTATCAAGTAAAAAAGTTATCAAGTTTCTCGTTTAATCAGTCATCAAGATTGCTCGACGACTCCTGGAGCGCTGAGTGTTTTCTTGTTAATGTACAGCTTATTAAAGTGAAGAATTTTTTATTGACTTATTTCCTTCGCGTCTTTTTACAGCGGTGCATTTTTGGAGAGCAGAGGGATGAATTCTATGAGACAAAAAGTTAAAAATCACATAATTTAATGAAAATTAATATTTTTTAAAATTGCTCCTGGCTTTTTTCACTTCACCATTATTCGCATCTGCGTTGTTCCAAAAATTTTTTAATCTCTTTCAACCTTAATTTACTGTTAAATACAACTCAGTTCAAGCTGCCTATCTTAGTGGAGGGTGCTCTGAACAGTCACACTAGCTGCACAGTTTTGTTCGTGACTTGATTTTTGAAAGTACGATCAAACACTGTTGGTTAGATTATAGACGGAAACAAGCGATAGCTCTCAAAAAACTTTCGAAAATTTGTTAAACCCAGTAAAAAAACGTTTTTTTTAAAGTTCTCTGCAGAAACGGTAAATGAATTGTCATACAATTAAGAATGTTTAAAAAGACTGCTTAAGAAAGCCGATCATAAAGTTGCATCAATTTTTAGAAGTTCAGTCTGCTATCAAACAGTTTACTTTTTCCTTTTAAAGCGGTAGAGAGACCGTTTTTTTGTCGTACCAACGAGAAGAGAAGTTGAAAGGTTTTTGATCACAAAGAAGATGATCAAAAATTCTTGTAATTTATGGAGTATACTAATATTCATCTTTTCATCTCGCAGTATCCTCGTCGATTTCTGCTGTAACCTCTTTAGACCAAAAAATCCTCCTTCATTCGCTACTTTTGCATAAAGATTTGCGTTTTTCTTGTAACTACGTGCAAAATAACTAAGTGAATTGATGTAGAAGTTTTAAAATTAAATTTCACTACTTTTTTTGCAAGTGTTCCTGGTGTTCGTTTTTGTAGAGGAATATTTATCAGCTTCGGACACGCAGCACTGCCGTGATCCATTTATAGAAATGCGTCTGCTTTTTGCTTTATTAATCAATTCTGATCTCTGACTTGAATAAAAGGATTAAAGTTACCATAGACAAAAAAAGAATTACAGTTTTACATCTCATATGTATTACTACTAGAAAGATTGGTTTGAGAATTGAGGTGTGGAATATTTAAGCAAAAAGTACTGAATAAAGTTAAAAAGCAAAAAAAATTAAAATTGCCGCTTTTTTCTAGTAAATAAAAATTTCATGCTGTTTCTATGAACCAAGAAGCAGTTTAGAGTCATAAATAAATCTTTCTCTTCAATTCTTTACATTGTAAGGAAATTGAGAAGAAGCACTTGTGTTTTCCCAAATTTTTTTGTTTTTAGAGAATTGAATCTGTTCTGGAATGCTAACTGTCGTCATTGAACGATGAAATATGGCATATTTGAATGACGAACTGATAGGAAGGTTGCCTTAAGGTGCTGTGATCAGAACAATGATTTTGATGACGATGATGAGGATTATGATGGCAGTGAAGATGAGGAAAGGGAGAATGAGAAGGTGGTTGTTTAGCCAACGATCGTATCATTA